TATAAAACAAATTTAGAAAATTTGTACAAAATTTTGTATAAAACAAATTTGCAGAACTTTTATAAAACAAATTTAGAAAATTATTCCAAAATTTTATATAAAATAAATTTGCAGAACTTTTATAAAACAAATTTAGAAAATTTGTACAAAATTTTGTATGAAACAAATTTACAGAACTTCTATAAAACAAATTTAGAAAATTTGTACAAAATTTTGTATAAAACAAATTTGCATAACTTTTATAAAACAAATTTAGAAAATTATTCCAAAATTTTGTATAAAATAAATTTGCAGAACTTTTATAAAACAAATTTAGAAAATTTTTACAAAATTTTGTATAAAACAAATTTGTAGAACCTTTATAAAACAAATTTAGAAAATTTTGTATAAAACAAATTTGCAGAATTTCTCTAAAACAAATAAAATACTTTGTTGCATTAATTATCATCCTCCTGTTTAATTTTTTTGCTCCTTTAATTCCCCTTTTTAACTAATGTATTTTATGTGGAATACATTAAGCCATTTTATTTAGAATACATTTATGCACTTCATGTAGAATACCATTAAGACATTTTACGTAGAATACATTAATACATTTTACGTATACTTTTCTACAGAATTCCTATTACACAAAAATACCTATTAATTATTTTAATAAATAGAAAGAATAATACTACTAATATTAATATATGTATGTGTTATTATAATTTGTAGGATTATTTGTACAAATTTTTCTAACGATACTTCTTTATTGCTCAATTTGTGAAAATTACTTTGGAAGGAGAAGGACGGAAGGATGGTAGAAAAAAAATAGTAATCAAATAAAATGAATGAAACAAATTTGCAAATTATCGGAATGACATAAATTTGTGAGATACTGTCCTTTCTTTCCTTCTCTTTTTCTTTTTCATGGAAACTGGACAGTAACTATGGAAACGAAAAGGGAGAAAAAGCTAGAATGAACAAGAATAAAAAAAAGAAAAAAAAAGAAAGAGAGAGAGAGAGAGAGAGAGATAAAAAGAGGAGAAATGTGATTGCAACGAGCTGATTTCTATCGTAAAAGATTTATTTTCTCGTTCGAATTCAATTTTACCATTTTGACTATATATATACAGAAATTAATTAAAAAAAAGAAATAAATTCGGATAAATAAATGCGCATATATATATTAACGACAAATAAAAATAAATAAAATAATTAAATCTTACAAAAAGGTTTTCAAGAAACGTATCATCTCAAATGATTTTCAAAATTATCTACAAAATAATTTTCATTTGTAATATTGATTAATGAAAATAAAATTCATTTAATTTTGTATTACATCGTGGAAATGCATTAAAACGGAGAATCTAATCGTGCTATCAATAGTAATAATGGCAAGATAAAGGGAATTGATCGATATAGTAAACACATAAATTTATTATCGATAAGCTTGCTAGGTGTTTCTGAAATATTGCTGTATGTGTAGCTAATAAAATAGGGTTGATTGGTGGATGGTCGTCTTTGTATATTGTGATTTGTTATTATCGATTTTTTTTTTAATTTTTTTTTATGTATTATTACTGTGCATTCACACCTGTATTATATATATAAAACATTTTCAAATATAATTATAATATAATGTGGTTTTATTATTATTTAAAAATATTGATTGTATATCAATTAACGTATTGATTATTAATAAATGATACATATATATAATAGCCATATAATAGCCTAATCAATTTATTACGCGAATGTTCTTCTTCTATGTATATATATGTATATACTGTATATATATTCATTTGATTTACTATCGTCGTGGTATTAATATTAATCGTTATGTCTGCCTCTGCCTGTTCCTCTTCATGAGTTTCAAGGAACTAATTATTTCTATCCTACGTGTTTCAACATAATATATGTATTATCCCTGCTATAGCAATGATTAATAATACTAAAATCATGCTACATGATAATGTTGAATATGAATCGAAATAACATTGACATAATTAATATTGACATAATTTTTTGTAAATTGTTAAAAAAACATCGTATTTCTGTGATTATATATATATATAATAAATTGTAATATTTAATATTAATTTGAAACTAAATTCTAAAATGAAATTATGATTGGAACATAAGCTAAATATGTAAAAATCATTATTCATTTTGATTCTATCATTATTTAATTTACAATTTTACAATCTTGTGTTTATTAGTACAATTAAACAAGAGAAAATTATATTACATATATATATATATATATATTTATTTGTATATATATATATTATAGAATTTTAATTAAAAATGAAAATCAATAGTAAATAACGTGTGCATGAAAATGCAAATTAAATGATATCGAACTAAACAAATATTTTCCTTTTTAATATATTATATATATGTATGTAGGTTGATGAAATTAAAAAAAGAAAACAAAAAAAGGAAGAAATACGATAGAATATTAAAATGATTTTAAGGATTATTAAAAACGATTTTTAAAAAAAGGGGAGAAAAAAGTTTTGGCGCCGATTGAAACGAAAAATCACGCTTAATGTCTTTAGGAAACCGCGTATTCCCAGACACCGATCCGGGTGGAGGGGTGGGGCGCGTTTTGCTATTAATTTGCGATTAGACGAAGTCTGTGAAAAATCAATGCCGCACCCTGAACGAATATATGTATATATACATCGGCTGTAGTTTTGCTGGCCCGATCGTTTAATGAGTCCCGATTATATCGCGATTATATCGCAAATTTACGGCCACTTCGTACGATACACAAATTGTCACTAATTGCATCCACTTTATCGTTTAAAATGATTCTTTCTTTCCGGTTACTCTTATTATTATTATTATTATTTGTCGTTGATTGGACAACGCAAACGAAATCTTCGATATATATATATATATATATATATATATAAATAAACATACAATTGTAATTTACATTAATCTATATGTGTACGTAAAATAATATAAAGTATAATTATATATGTACATTTTTAAAAAGGAATTTTTAATTAATTTTGTTTTGATTTATTTACATATTGATTCACCCCCACCCACCACCTACGTGTTTATAAATATCTCGATATAATTACTTTCATTTTTAATTTCAAATAGATACAAATTTTAATTACAACTTGGAATCAATAGTATTTAATTGTAATATATATATAAATATAAATGGATGCTCATAATAATTATACCGTAACATTAAATTTTTAATAAATTACCGAGTTCTTATAGACAAAAAAATATTTCTAATAAAAATGACAAATATAATTGCTGACGATGTTTACAAAGAAAACGACGAAATTTAAAACCAACGAAATAAAAAGAGAAAAATAAATATATTTACAGTAAAAGTGTCAAAATTATAAAAGCGGAATATTTATCGAGAATTAATAATCTAAAAATTGAAAGAGAGAAACGATTAATTATCTAGAAAAAAAGAAAAAAAGGAAAAGAAATCAAGTCCTTTAAACGAGAGATGTTACACAAACGAACGCAATTTGAAAAGGGTATTTTTTTCCCTTTGGAGTTAGGACTCGCAGTCAGTAATTGGCTGTGACGATAGGATTACACCCCCTTTTATCCAGTAATTGGGAATCGGGTATACCAAACGACATTCTTCTTTGTGCATTCTATTGAACGTCTTCTTCTTTTTCTTGTCCGATGCACCCCTCCATCCTCCATCCTCCATCCTCCATCCTCCACCCTCCACTCTCCACCCAACCCAACCCAACCCAACCCAACCCACGTGGAGGAGAGATATCGTTCAATGTCGTTTTTGCTTGAACGAGTATCGAAATTTCAACCACCGTCTCGTCTCATCTCATCCCAACTAACCAACAAACCAACCAACCAACCAAACAACCCTACCAACTCAAGCAATCCCTTCTTCTTTCACCCTCTTTCCTTATAAAGCAAGCTTTGTCACGATGAAGTAAACACAACTCACCTCATTTTCTCCGTATTCTGGCAAAAGAGATTCGTCCTTAACTCGAAGAATAACGGTATAAGGTGACTTCGGTAGTAGAGTAGTTTTCGCGTGGAATCCTTGACAAAAGAAGAAAAAAAAAATTAAATTAAATACAAAAAAAACAAAATCAAATGTTTACCTTTTACAAATATTAAGGGTGAACCAACAAAGTTTGTTTTTTGTGCGCTTTTAAATTAATATTTTTAAAGTAAATATTACACAAAAAAATGTACGAAGAACTTTTGATTTATCCTA